TTTTTTTTTTTATAAATATCAATATGTTTAGACTATTTTATTGTTTTTGTGTATAGCACCTACTGAATTATCTGTTTTCGAATCTTAAGAGGTTCGAAATATTGTTTAGGCAATTAATTTATAGAGGAAGAAAAAAACCTGAGCATAAATAGTTGTCCAACGCCCCTCTTCCGAAAATAAAAGTGTGTTTGATGCGTAGAATTATTATTATTAATTACCTGTATCGTCCTCACTCGTGATTTTTGAAACCTTTCCCGAAATTAAATCCTGTGCACCTATACACCATGGTCAATATCTTATTGATTTTATACTTATAAATTGCGTGCCTTAGGTATATTCCCCTATTGATTAACATTTTACCTGTAACGTACGAAGTATTAATGGTGAATAAAATATTTTCCGATGATTTTATATTTAGAAATAAATATTAGATTTTTAAATTTTATTCAATGTTTGAATTGCAGATCAGTCACTAAAAATATTATCCTGAATACGGTCGTATGGTCAGATGATACAAACTTATTTGCAATGTGGATGAACCGAATACAGAACAAATCATATTTAGTTCATTATTCCGTAGTTAATTCTGCAGAAACTATTCAAGTAAGTTTCATGAAATAAAATGGTATTTAAATTAATATTTTTATCTATAATATTTGGTGGACTCCAAAACCACGCATTGTGTTGTCTCCGTTTTTCAAACTGTCAACATAGTACATCTGTGTTCGGCATCAACCCATTTTGTGTCATAAGCTTTCATTTTTAGTGAAATGCTAGCTATTATCAAACTTAAATTTCCGAATATTAGATAATAATAGTATAACCATAAATAATGGAACATTTCCAAAAAAACTATTTGGTATAAATATTTGGTATTTACAATTTAATGTAAATACAAAAGTTAAGAAAGTTGATAAGGCTATAACTTATCATCTAATAGAATATAGAATAAAAAATAAAATAAATAAAAAATAATAATAAATCAATAAAACAATCTAATAGAATGTAAAAATATAAAATAAACTTAATTATTAGATAGAACAGCATCAAAAAAAAAAATTAACTGTTGTCTTCGAAAATAAATTATTTTAATACTATTCAATATTTTTTTAAATTTTCTGGAGCTCTAAAAACAACTTTTTCTTTCATTCATTTCTGGTTATGTTTCATTATTTTTATTCCTAATTAAAAATTAATATTAATTTACGGTTGTAAGACTAAAACAACACATGCGGTTATGAGTACTTAAAAAAACACAAAAAAACGAAATTTAAAATATTAAAATAAACACTTAAAGATAAAATAAAATGGGTAAGGTATATACAAATATAACAATAATAACACACAACAGACAGTGTAAAGACATAATTATTATTGTGTTCCAATTGGAAATCTGAAATACTATGAAAATCATTAATCCAATTTTGTACAATTAATATAATGTATACGATGATTTTTCGATGGAAAATATCAGTAAGTACGAGAATAAACATTCCTACGCAAAACCTCAATATTATCCAACTAAAACAATTAAATTACCATTATTTTTGTTTTTATCAAAAAAGTATAATGAATAGGTATTGCGTTTTTTCTGTGATAATGTGCACAAGAGTATGTACTGCAAGATAATACCTATTATATAATTATCATACAAATGTAAGACATAATAATATGTGTGTATACGTATTGACTAATTAAGCTAAGAGATTAAATTAGAATATAAATGGTTGATTATATTATTATCACTAATTATTAACTTGGGGCATTTTGAAAATTACACAACATGTGTAGCAGGTCGACAACTACTGTGTGAGACTATTAAACACAAATAAGAAAACATGTTTTTTCTGTCGTAACTATTACCCATATTTAGTATTGATAAAAACAAAATATTTGAGTGGCAGAAAGATGTAATAATAATAACCTTAGATATATAATATATATAAATATTATGCGTAAATATTAGACATCCATATGGATAAATCTGATAGTATATAATACTTTATTCAGAATACTATTTATCATAATTCATAATCACTCGAGTATTTTGCCCAGGTCTGAAAAAGCTTAAGCTAATAGTTTGAAAGTATTCTATTGTGGACGGAAAATCTAATCAAATACATATATTTTAAATTGATTAACGAGCGACAATGTAGGCCTGAAGATGGTTATTTGTTGTAGGTTTTTTGGGCGGGATACGGTTGGTGGTTGGAACACGTGTGTATGTGTGACGAGGATTTGTCACTAGAACACCCGGGTGGTCACCCATCCGGGAACTAGTGGCACCAGCCAATGCTTGTGATAACATAAACTACAATAATCATATTAAGTATGGTAAACCTTAAATTATCTAAACAATTGGCTTCATAAAAATAAAAAATAAAATAAATATCATTATTATTAGTAAGGTAGTGGTTTAGGCAGTAATAAAATATAGGGTGCACGAAAAAATAAAATATGTGCCTTTATCACAAACTCGTATTGTCATAACGTAATAGGCGTTGTGATGTCTTAAGTTTATGAAAATGTATTGAATTTAAGTATGAAACCGTTCCAGTAAAGTGGGCGATATTATTTTTTTTTTTGTACTTCAAAACAATTGTGATAATATTATGTACTAACCACTTGGTACATTTTTCACAAACTTACAGGTAGTGACTTTCGGTCAACCCGGGGGATGGTTGGATTTCACTCAAATACCATTGGTCGGCGACGAACACCGTCTGGCTATAATTTATCCCGTGAGACAGAGGAACGGAGACGATTTCAAGCACTTGGTCGTGGTGGAACCCGATGGAAAACTGACTGCAGTAACGAATGGCAAATTCGAAGTTCTCGAACTTCTGAAATGGGACGTCCGGTCGAATTACATGTAAATAAACGGATATTTTGCTTATTTTTTACATTATTTCTATATTACGATTATTATCATTATAATAACAGGTAAATTGACAGATCTATGAAATTTGACTACTGTTTAACACGAAATCGTGTTATACATATTTTAATTCTTACCATTATAATTATTTAAGTAAATATTTTTTGTATAATATAGTTCAAAATCGAAAATGGCAACACCGCGATCGCAGAGTTTTTTTTTTATCCTCAGTCGTATTGGTTTTCTTTTGTACTTCTGTTCCTTTGACACGCCGACAAATGTTGCCCAATCGTATAGTAAAACATATGTTTTATGGTCAATGGTTATGTTGTAGCTCTTAAAATATTGTTTACTATATAAGAAAAAAGTATTTTTACAAAAATTTAAAAATTACAAACGAATTTCAACTATCCTCTGAACTCCAGTTTCAAACCACGGGGCACTAACAAGGGGGAGGGGCCCTTATCGTTGCACCCTGTTGCTATATAGTTAGGTTTTATGTGGATAGCTCTATTCTTGTTTAATAACAATAATTATAATTCATAATACATTGTGATGTTGTATTTTCTTATAGTTACTATTTGGCCAACACAGAAGAAAATCCCGAAGAACAGTACCTTTACCGGGTGTTGGTTAAGGAACAAAGTTCACCAGAATGTATGTCATGCAAGACGGAATGTAAAAATCACAAAGCAGAGATGAGTGCGGAAATCGATTATTATGCTCTCACATGTTCTGGTCCGAACGTACCGGAAGTCAAAATATTCAAAACGGTATGTAAGCCCAACAGTGTTGTATTAATACTTTGTGATAATATTAAATCGAATGTAACATTTTACGTCCATTATAACACCTCGGACAGTAATAATAATGTCCGGATTTGAATGCAAAATGCATTATTTTTTGAGAAGTCAATGCAGTCAATCGTTTTCGGGTACAAAATCCGTTTCATACATACGAGAGGATTGAAAACTTAAGCTTTTATTTTTCGTCTTCATAATTTTTGTCGTTTTTAGAGCATAATATATCATTACTTTTAAGCCATCTTGTTGGTTTTTAGGGCATAATATATTTATGCATAACAACAAGAATTTTAAATTAAACTTAATTCGTTATTCAAATTATTACCTCAAGAAATTTCGTCCTGATTATTTATGTCATATATTTAGATTCGATGATTTCGATACTACAATAACGTCTTTATCTAACTATAATGCAATTAAATGCGGTAACTAGTGCTTTTAGGGCTCAGACTATAGTAACATCCAAGGCTCGGCACTTGGTTTTTTTATGTTTTGACATAAAATCTAGTAGAGTGCTATGGAAGTCTATGTCGTTTTATAACACGTTCAATTATGAAATTTTAAAGTGTTTTTTCTTTCTGTTTTCAACTATTTTTAAAAAATACTTATTTCTCGTTGTTCTGGTTATTTTTGCTATTTTGCATATCTCTGCTCAATCATGAATTATTATGATACGTGTCACTGACTAAAACCTAGGCATTTTAGTTAATTTCTATATTTTTTTTTGTTTTTGTTCACGGTGATAGAACTATAAATAATTTTTGTCGTTTCCATCATATTTCCTGGCAATAAACACCGCAACTCATATTTGCTAGCTTGTCTACTAATCGGCCAAATTAATCAATATTTTTTTTGAATATTAAAACATGATTCAAAAAATCTATAAGATAAGTATTATAAAAAGTTTATATGTTTTCAAAAATTCAAAAAAATCTAAATGTTTTCGATTTGTTTCAAAATTAATTTCTTTTATGTTTCTCAGTATAAAAATTAAACAATAATATTAAAAAACATTTTGTTCACAGTTCTTGTCGGGCTTTTTTTGCTTGTTTTAATATTTTTAAGTGCTTATAATGAAGTATTTAATTTCTGTTTTCAGTGCTTATTTTTATTATTATAAGTGCTTAAGTCCTTAACCATGATAGCAGCTAATTTTTCAGTTGACGTGTTACGGAGATACATCATAATCACGTTTATTCTTTGAAGTTAGAATTTTTTATTTATTCAAGAAAAATTGAAAAAATGTTATTGTCATTTTATTGCATCCAAACGCACTTTTTTGATAGTTTTTATTATTTACTTTAAATCCAGGCCCTAGTAACTAATTCAAACAGGTGATTATAATATATTTATTATTATTTTTTGGCTTGAATCCGTATTCCTTTGGATATTTTGAATGGTCGATTGTACTGTGTTTTAAGTAAGCACAAAATATGTTTTATGAAAGTGTGATGTATACGAATTATTTAAGAGCATATTTTACAGTTGTTATTAGGTCATATTTGGTATTTTGTACTATTTTGTTACTTAAGAAAAAAACGTACTTATACTCATACAATTTCGATAAAATAAAAATAGATAGGTAAAAACAATTTACACAAAAACTGCAATTTTATTAAAATATTTGCTTTTTTTTTTTAATTATTATTATATAGGTGCCCTGCAATATACCTATTGAATTAATAACTAAACATTCTTGTAACTTTTTTCATATTAATTAATCAGTCATAATTTTTTCTTCTTTAAAACACCGTTTATTTTTAAAACATTTTATCTCGTATTTGGTGCACGAACTCATATATTTAAGAACATATTTCATGATGTTCAATAAATATAAATCTGAGCCTTATAGTAATAAGTAATTAATAATACAACTATGTATTGTAATTTAAATATTATTACGATTTAAGTTTAAGTTTGTATTTCATTTTGTATGCTATAGTTTAGAATGTTTAGATGCTAGCATAGCTATGATAGCTCATTGCTCAACAATTAATATAAACACATTACATAACTATGTATATGTAACATGTTGATACAATTAAGATTGAATCTTTAAGTATCAAATTATGAAAGATTAATTGAAAATTATGATAATAAAGCAATAGTATATAAGAGCTGATAACGAGGATAATTGTTATAATTGAGAAAACGTTAAATAAGATAAGACTAACGAGGATTGTCGCTGTTAATGTATCTCTTTATTGTTACTAAAAAAGAAACCAAAATATTATATAAATATATAAGTTTATATAAAGTCAAAAAATTACAAATATTTTCTTATAGTTCAAGTACCTAACTATAATTACCATACTAAAAGCAATAGTATATAAGAGCTGATAACGAGGATAATTGTTATAATTGAGAAAACGTTAAATAAGATAAGACTAACGAGGATTGTCGCTGTTAATGTATCTCTTTATTGTTACTAAAAAAGAAACCAAAATATTATATAAATATATAAGTTTATATAAAGTCAAAAAATTACTAATATTTTCTTAAAGTTCAAGTACCTAACTATAATTAATCTTTTTCGAACTACAACCAAACACGTAAATAGATTTTGTCAAAACTAAAAATTCCCTTTTTTTTCCTAATTAATTAGAAGAGAACTGATAATTTTTCATCGACTGAGCCCGCATAGAGTTTTCAACAAAAAACAACTCTCAAAGTTTAAGATTGAAGATTTCTACTACCTACCTGCTATACTATTTAAAACTGCCAACATTTACAATCTTCATTGTCTTCATACACACATAAATAAAATGAAACACACTATAGTAAACATAATTAGTTACATTATATTAAGTAATGAAAACATTAAATTAATTCAACTTAAACAAAAACCATAGACGTCAATATCAATCTATTTCGAATTGATAAAAATAATACCTAACATTCACAATGCAAAAGCGCAAACTAAAAATTGTATTTATTATATTATATTATGTTATCATCACTTTAATAATATGGTTCCATGCTTGTTTTTTTTATTTAAGACTGGCGAAAAAGCTTTGGACTGGGAAACGAACGATAACCTAAAAGATTTAATATCTCCTATCACTCTTCCCCGAGTGTCGTTCATCGACGTGCCTATCGGTAACGAATTCAAGGCTCGAGTACGACTAATACTGCCGCCGGCTGTCGACGAAAGCTCAGACGTCAAGTATCCTCTGCTGATCAACACGTAAGTGACCTCGTCAGTCTTGAGTAGGATTCCGAATATAAAGTATTCAGAATACTTTAAAAATATTTTTCCCGAAAGCGTTCGGAATGACTAGGTATTTAGAATATTTTCAAAAGTATTTCGTTCCTATAAAAAAGAAACTTTTATTTTCAATAATAATTTTGTTTTCTTCATTTATCGGTACATTTTTACAATCTATATTGCACACAATTTTAAATTTTAAATCAAGTATCAAGAACTTAAATTATATTATATTTAGAACTATAAAAATTCTTATATTAGCTCTAATTTCAAATTTTCTGGAAGAAAAGTATCATTGGTTTAGTATTTAAAACAAAACTAAAAAGTATTTTACTCAAGTCTATATCTCGTGTGCATAAACACAACGTTGAAAAATATTACAAGTATCAAATGATGTCTCTATAATGCCCAAAGGTATTGAGAAGTTAAAAATTATAAATTGAGTTCAAAATATAACAATACATTCCTAGTTGAACTAACTGTTTAAATAGATAACTTAGCTTTTTTCAATTGTTTTCAAAACAATTTATCGAGTTTAAGTTAAAAAGGTTTTTGACATTTTTGGTTTGATGGTTTCATGTATAAATAACACTGCTTGGTACTGTACACATGGTTTAAAATAATAATAAACAATTAATAGGTACTATTATAGTGTTCAATTATTAATAATAATAAATACTATAATTTCTGTTGTTTCTTGATGTAATAATATAATGTACAGATGGTCGCAAAATACTCTATATGCGATCCACGTAAGTACTAATTAAAGAAGAAAATCAACTTTCTTTGAACTGTGATACCACCTAAGTTAGTACTTTTTCCTTTTGGTTTTCGTTTAAACTAAATCAGCTAATAATTTATCATTTGTTAACTAGGTATTAATTAACTGTAACTTGACGATCTTGTGTTCGACTAGCTTCGATCAATTTCCCCGCCTTTGTCTATAACTATCACAAAACTGATGTTGTATTAATATATTATGTATAGTTATGCTGGCCCTGGATCAAATTTGGCTATCAACAAGTTTTCGTTGGAATGGAACATGTTTTTTAGTTCGAGCAAAAATGTGATCGTCGCTCAAATCGACGGCCGTGGGTCTGGAAGAAGGGGTAATAGAAACACGTTTGCCAACTACCTGAAATTGGGTACTTACGAAATCGAAGACCAGATAGCTGTCACGAGGTAAAAAATCGTTTTCCATACAATATTATAATATTAATAACAATAATCATTATTTATAAATAATATTTTAATAAACGATTGATCTCTTCCTCGAACGCCGGAGGCTGCATATACAAGACGTCTAGGGTGCGTCCTTTTTTTTTTACCTTTTTCGTAGCCCGGCTATCTTATCTAAAAATTAAATTAAACACCTTGAGTGCGCTTGCAGCCTTTTTGATAAATTATATCGAACAGCCATAGTCGTGTGTCCTCAGCCTTTTCGACAAATTATATTGAATGGCCATCACGGTATAGTCATCTATACGCAGCCAAACTTTTACAAGATATAACCGACGCGCGACGGTCGACATTAATCATAGTAAAAAATATGTACAATTATATGCGAAATGTTTCCATCTTAAGCTTCTGTAGCAATGGTAGGGCATTTTATTTTAACTTCGATAAGAGCCGAGCCCGAATACGACTCGTTTAAGGTCGATAAGTGCGAGGTGTGGACTGATGATGCACAAGATATCAAGCCTGGGTATAAATGAATTGAAAATTTAAAGTTAAGTTGATTGAAAATTTGAGTTTCATTATCTTAACTGATTTCTATTGATATAAACTTGATGAATAACTCGTTACTTTAAATCAGATCTAGGTTACGTTCATTTATAAATATAATTGAATAATAAATATAATACAATTTTTATTGATGATACATATTGTATAAACATTAGTAATACTAATGTGTAATAGTAACTTAGTATTAGTATTTTTTTTATTTTTTTTAAACCGTATTGTACTTACTGACTATTTACGTGTTACAAAAATTAATTAATTAATGCGTTAATTAAAAATTTCCACATTTAACTTAACTGCAGAGTTTAAAAAAAAAGTTTTCTATCAACTTAACTAAACTTAATTAAAAATCATCATTAACTTGCCCAGGCTTTGCGAAATAGCACATAACAGACGTGTAGAGTTAGGTACAGGTGTTTTTGATTTTCCAAAAAATGTACACGATTGAGTTATACGTTTAAAAAAAAAAAAAATGATATCGGTCTACAGCTATCTCCAGGAACGATTCTCCTTCATTGACAAATCGAAAACAGCAATTTGGGGTTGGAGTTATGGAGGTTACACGGCTGCCATGGCTCTGACTAAAGACGACAAAAACGTCTTCAAGTGCGGATTGTCCGTGGCTCCCGTCACCGACTGGATATACTACGGTATGTATTCAACATGATATCATATGTACCTACCTATATTATTTAATTCGGGTGTTTTGTTTTCGTGTCACGTCCTACACATTATTTTATTGAACTGCCTCTGATGGATTGCATTTGAACTCGTGTGCTCAAACGTAAATCGTCGTTTTCAGACTCGATTTACACGGAACGTTACATGGGCTTGCTTCAAGACGACACTAGTGGATACAAGAACGCCAGTCTCTTGACACACGCCGAGAAGCTTCGTGGCAAAAAGTATATGGTCATACACGGCACGTATGACGACAACGTACATTACCAACAGTCCATGATGCTCTCTTATGAACTGGAACGAAGAGTTATACTTTTCAGACAACAAGTGAGTGCCTACTACCTACTATACTGCAGTTGTTCAAACGTCGAGTGTTCCTCGTCTCTGCAGACGAGTAGGGCACTGCAATAAATTATTGATGTGTTCGATTAGAATTCCAATGTTCGATCATTGCGCAGTGCGACAAACGATTTAGAGCTCAGGCGGTCCGTCAGCCTGTGCTCAGCCGCAGTGTCGGTAAACATTCGAGTGTGCGTTTAAAGTGTTTTTTTATTTCTATTCCGGAGTGCTGAATTGTTTTTTGTTGCGTTGACCGCACTGTATTGAGACGACCAATATTTTATCGGAAATAAATTGAAGAAAAACGGCGATTTTTCAACAAAATCAGATTTGATGGTGTAACCCAAAAACTAATATACCCGTGGATAATCCAATAACCGTAATACGTACAATATATACTCTAGAGCAGAGGTGGCGAACCTATGACACGCGTGTCACAGGGGTACACACTGTTTTAGTGACACACGCGAATGCGTAAAAGTTTGATGATATTAAAGTTTTTGAAAAAAAAAAATTGAAGGGTTATCGAACTAGTTGACACGCAGGGAAAACAAAATCCAACCAACATTTGTATTTGACACGATTCGCCGTCCCTGCTCTAGAGTCTATAGGCTTTAGATCTATTACATATTGGATATTGGTATCAATCGCAGTTAATAATTAGGGAGTTTACCAATTGCGCTTAAAATTACCTTTTCATATACCAATTGCGCTCTAAACGTTTTAGGGTCGATAGACCAATTGCGCTCTATACATTTTACATTACCTTAGGAAAACTTATTGTTTGATTAAATATATATATATATTTATGTGTGTGTACATATTTTTGGTTTTTATTACATATTAACCGATTTTTTGCGAGTATTAATCCATAATATATTGTGAGATGTATTATACAGTTTTACAAGGTTTAATTTTGAGTTTAAGGTAATCATGATGTTTGTATTTTGCATGCTTTAATAATAATAATATTTTTTAAAATAATAATTTGAACATGGCATTACAATTTAGAATAATATAATTTGGTTAGTTTACAGAGTAATATATTTGTTAAATAATACATTTTTTCACTACGAGGAAAGGAAAATATAAATTATAAGTATAACAGGGCAATTACATTAAATATTAAAATAATTCATTTTGTCACCACAAGGTATAATAATAACATGCTAATTTAAAAAAATATATAGTACAAATAAATTAATAAATATAAATAATATAAAAATAAATGAATAGGTACACTAATAATCAGTAACAATTTTGATGGTTAGGTTAGGATATGTAGGGATATGTGCGTGATAATAATAATGTTTCATAAAATTCCCGATACTGTTATAAAATATATTAAAACCAGTCACTTTAGCTAGTAATCAATTGATCAATAAATATCAGGCAAATTTGAATACAAGCGCAATTGGTATGTATATTGACCCTAAAATACAAATTTGGTTTTAGGCGCAATTGGTCCATAGCCAATAATTATTAATAATATAATTGTAGGTAAACAGACGCACTTTATTATTATCTAAATTTTTACATGATTTACTCTTGGGGAATATCGATTGTGAAGAGCTCCTAATTTCCCTCACTCCCGTTTTAAAGTAAACCACCGTAACACAAGATGCAGTGATTTATTCTATCCCGTCTCTTATATAACGAACTATAATATGATAAACTGCAGTCCTTCTAAAATCCTAATGGCTGCGGGTAATTCCATTACCTTTGGTTTTGTTTAGTATAATATATGTCTCGTCTTATTTCTTTCTCTGTTGTTATTTGCCTTTTTTCGTTCTCTTGTCTATATTTGTAACTTATAAAATATGTACAATGCATTTCGGTTTATAAATTGTCATTCCTGTGACATCATTATATTATTATTACCGTGTGTACGCGCAAAATATTGTTAAGGACTTACGTCCTGTTATATTTAAAATAAACAAATAAGTAAATATAATTATGATAATGAGTAAAAAAAAATAAATATTTGTGATTTAAAAAGGTCGAGCCACTTATTGACTTATAAAGTTTTTTCATCGAAAAACATAACCCGAAAATGACATGCAGGTACACGATTTATGATTTGTTATCAAATGATAACTCATTGATCTATAACCATGAAACAAAAAACGAAATGTACAACGCTACAACGTGTTCAACTAGCGGTGGTTCCAACAGAATACTACCGAGAATAACCGTTCAAAAAATTAACAAAATGGTGGTAAAAAAAAAAAATAACAATTTGAGTTCCTTCCTGCAAGGGTATAATATGTTACATGCGCGGGGGCCTAGGATAAAATGATACAAGTCAGTCAACGCACATTTTGATACTGTATTCGACTTTACAAAGCTTGTGCAGTGATTGATTACAATAGATACTTAATTAATATATATTGAAGATGAATAGTTATCCAAAATGTTGTACGTGATATTATCTATACTTGTTTCCAATATGTTCGAGTAACGGACGAAAGATAAAACACTAATGAATATATATATTTTTTTTACAGACTTATCCAGATGAATCCCACGGTCTATTAAGCGTTCGCAATCACGTGTATCAAACAATAGGTTCATATTTGTTGGATTGTTTCCACGACAGGTTGTGATCTCAATAACTATGATTATAAACTACAGACATTGTATTATTATTATTTTTTTTTTTTAATCATTTATTATTGTTTTATATTTTGAATTATTATAATATTATTTGTCCTGGTATCAGTGAGTGAAACATCATTCAAAGATGGTTTTTATGTATTATTTATTTTCTTTTGAATATACTCAAATCCGCAGAATTTCGTTTATCATAAAAAAAAATATCGCACTGGTGTTATATCTACTTAATACATTTAAGAAATTTTTTTCATAATTGTATTTAACAGTTGTTTTTACTATCGAATTTTCTGTACGAGTTTATTGTTATGTGCCATTTATATTAAATCAGCTACTTAAATACACGAAATTGCTTTAAATCACACATATTTCAACATTAAAGATAATCATTCATAATGTGCTATTCATAGTTCGACGTCAAATGTTTGTTAATAATATTGATGTTGAATATTCTACCACTCTAGCTCACTACTCAAAAATATACTATCCTTTCCAATTTTTCTTAAAAAATGTACCGTTGAACAGCTTAATATTATTAAGAATTTTGAACTATAAACTGATAAACAGCTAATTTTTGTATTTTAATACATTTCATAGAAAAAATTGAACCTAAAAAAGTGTGACCGTCTTTTTGATATTTTCCGATTGTGGTAAGAATTGACCCCGAGGACGACATAATATTATACTGACTAGGAATAATCCTAAACACCACTCGGTGATGGATGAGAATAATTTTAAGTCTATTCGTTATCGGGTTAGCACATTTTCATACACGCCCTGTTTATCGTGGATAGGCCATCTTAAACTCATGACGACGCAATGGAATGCGAACCAATCAATAAAGAAGGAAACAGGATGATACATTTTTTAATGGAGGTAGGGGCCTTGTTGTCGATCCGGACTGGTGCCATGACCTCAGGGTACAAATACAATATTAATTGGGACACACTTGAAATTAACTTGAGACTAAGACAGGTGAACGACGAATTGCTTGGCCAGCGAGTGACGCAACTAGACGACTTTGGCGGCCTCTCGCACGACCATCGGCGTAACTGGGGGGGGGGCTTAGCCCTTCTATATGTGTATTTAGCCCCCTACAATGTATATTGTACTTATTTTATTATTTACATTTCGTTTTCAATGATGAGTTTATGCTTCCATATTATTTTTGATTTTTGATTTCGATTTTCTAGTTACGCTTACCGTGGTGGAGGTGTGGGGCCCCCAAAGTTATTTTGAACATTAATTTTCTAGGACTCTATAGCTCCTGTAACTATTAAATTTCAGTTACGCCTGTGGTTATCACTTATGCGCACTCGTGCCGCGTGTCATCATAACGTTATATTGTGGTCTTCATTACCTTAGCGTATTAATTAGTGTTTGGATATTAGTATTATATTATTTTGGGGCGCCCTGCCTACATCTGTGTGGTTGTCGTGTTGTGTACAATTACTTATTATAACTTGTAAGCTCGTCGCGCCTTATATAGTTATATACCCGTACGTTATTATACTGCGACCTTCTCAAGCCCTAAACACACGCCTCGAGTCGTTGCCGCTAACCGAACTATTCGCAGGAGCGGCTTAACACATTTTTTCACAAATCTCACAGTAAATCATTCGACTTGTTCTGGCGTACTTAGGCAATTTTACTGTTTTTACATGTGGTCTTCGGAGTTCAGAGTATATGGTTCTGTAGTATTATAATATTAGGGCCCGGAAGTTCATGCATTTACATGTTTTTACTGAATGGACTAAAAAATTGCTAGATCAGCTACAAGTTTGAATTATACTTGTACAAATCCAAATACAACATTTTATTTTGCATATAATTGCATATTTTGGTTTTTTTTTTATGTATTAGCATATTTTACAATTTTTTTGTTATTAAATGCATATTTGAGTCAAATATTATGTGATTGACAAAATAAATTACATCTAAAAGACCTATTATAACCCCACGAACGACCCTAACGGCTGATGGACAATATGTTTATTTTTAGAAAAGTTTTAATATTTTTCATCACGATAACGATACTTTAGTTAAATTTGAACAAGTTATTGAAAAGAATCTGGGCTTTAAAACACTATCCAAAATTTCAAAAATTATGCTGGGAGAAGAAATGACAATGAATAATTTACCTGAAGATTGTTCTTGTGATAGTTTACTATATTTTAAACACGCACCAATTTCTTCGGTTAATGTGGAGCGGAGCTTTTCGGTGTACAAAAATATGTTGGCAGATAACAAATTCAAATTTGAGAATTTATCAAAATCGTTGATTGTGAATTGTAATGTTGAAAAATGTATACTAATTAATAAAATAATGTTCTTAATTACTAGTCAAAGAAATTGAAATAAAAATCGTGAGTAGTATCTCATAAATTCATAACTAATAATTTTTTTTTCCTCATATTTATAAGTTAAAAAAAAAAATAAGGGCATATTAAAGCGCATATTTCAGGATTTTTAAGTGCATAAGTGCATACATATTTTTAATCTTTAGTGCATAAACTTACGGGCCCTAATTATAATACATACTTTTTTATGTTATATAAATACGTATAAATCCAAGCCCTAGTTATTATACAATTTAAATTCAAAAATATTTTTAAGCACCTATAATAGTCAAAAATACAAGTTAATAATATAATATTTATTCAAAAATTTTGTGTAATTAGCTATTGCCGATTTATCTATTGTACGATATTTGTTTATAATTTTTTATTATAAACAATAAGTATCATCAAATAAAAAAAAATTATGCAAAACTATTTAGAAGGTAAAAACCGACCCAGTAATAACACTGATTATAAATAGTACAATATATATTATATTATAGGTAGGTATATTATCTAATGCATTGTTTTTATTTTTACTAAAAATACAATCAAGTGATTTGACTCCCATCATAATATAAAATGCAATTAAGATACCAAATACACTTTTTATTACTTTAGTAAACTGATATAGTTAGATAGAGTACAGATTATTATGGCTGTATAACAATTAACATTACATCGGTGTATAAGAATAAAAAAAGACTTGTCAGAAGCACACACGTACATTATTATCATTATTTATTGAAATTTGTTAATAAATAAATACAAAATTCAAATGTTATAGGTTTTTTAATTATTGACACACAATTAAAATTAAAAATTCATTAAAAAATAAATCCTATATGAATCATATTTCAAAAATATAGGTTCACATTTGAATTTTAAAAGTTACCAATTAAATTTCCCCTTTTTAATTGATAAAAAAAATAATTAATATCAAATTAATTTTGATTATATGATTCAAAACAGTTTTCGCATACTTAGGACATTTTTTCCTAATTTCAATATATCATGCTGAAATCTGCTGTCACATGAAATGTGACACACTCTGTATGTAATAACACAGTTTGTAAATAGTTATTTAACAATAAGCACATGTGATGGATTTAATATTTTGATAAAATATGTTTAAAAAATATATGTACAAGATAAATATATGTGTGACATAGGTACGTTCAAATGCGATAGCAAGGCTCTCTTCACATCTCTTTACACCAAATCCGTCCGCGCATACTGCTGTATACAATACATATTTAACAATGAATAAATTAAATAAATATTCGTTATCTGAATCTCAATTTTAAGACATGAGTCAATTATGACAAAGTTGACTCGTTCCATATTTTAGTAGTTGTTTAGCGAATCCTATGGGTGGTATAGCTTCAGTGTTTCTCAAGAATCTGTATAGAAGATTCTATAGAACGTTTCACGTTGTCTGTATAGGATATATTTAATAATAATGCGTGTATAACAATATTTAACTGACAATGTGTTGTGTGTAAAATATAATTGGCATTGAGTGTTAAAATAAAATAAAAACACAACTATGGAATAACATCGAAATGGGTAATTATATAGGTATTGGTAATAATATTTAGACGTTTAGTATAAGGATATGTGGCTAGGAATTAAGGCGGGCACCGCAAACATTCGCAGTAAAATACTAAAAATATGAAATGTACCTACGACCTACCCACGAGATGCAATTATTAATGAACGAGTTATAATAAGTAACTGAATATATTGATTCTGGTCTATATGGCTGCCGTGGTTGGGGTCGGTGTTTCCGAATTGCGGATAAAGTGACAAAAACCATGTGAGTTTCGGACGAAATCTAAAAAGGTAACATACGAATTGCGGACAAATGTCCAATTATTATAAATGAAATAAATAGAATAGCATTCATACAGGCTGTTTCAAAAAAATTGTTGCCTCAAAATTTAAAACTTTAAATAATATAATATAATACTATATTATAGTGACTTTAAATAATTTTTAAAAATGTTTAAAATAACGATTGCACTTTTGCAAGACACCCCCCTACCAATTTTTTGGTAGCTTGTCCTAAGTTCTGAAAAGTGGTGAAGAGAAATATTTGTGTCCGCAACTCACGTGGTTTTTATTAAAAAAAATCTCTGTACGCAATTAGTATTATGACCACGAAAGTACGAAACGCGTGTCCGCAATTGTTATGTTACAATATTGACCTGAAATAATTCGTCCGCAACTAGTATGTGTCTGTTGGGGTATAGTAGGTAAGTAGCAATAGCCTTATAGGTATAGGTACATGAGACGTATTGTGCAGTACACACTCTGTATTGAGCTTTAAAACGAGATGGTCAACTAAACATTCATATCGGTAGGTATTCATTACTCGGTCATTACTAAATAATTATCCACAGATTTCTAGTAGGTATAGGTATGCAATTAATCGTTTAGAGACTTGTAAAATTTAGATTTTAACGTTGTATCTTGTGATATTTCTAAAAAATGTTCTCGATCCGTTGAAGTTAAGTCTGAAATTTTAATATAGCAACTAGTCCATGCGTACGACCCTGGTTCCGCGGAACACAAACACACGCTGATGTTAATATATTATTATTTATTATTAATATATCACTGCGGCGTGCTCTATCGGTACATGTTCATGGCCCAACCAATTTA